ATGACCGAATTTGGTTCTATCAGCTACAACATCTTTGGCACGAAATGGTATAGCCATTAAACGACTACAAGAAGAACTTGGGTTGACACCATAATTAACTCGATATCGGTTTTTAAAAGCAACTAATAAAACTTCGGATCATAATAAATCATGAATAATGAGAAATAATTGAATATCGAGACTTGGAAATTTATAAACGAGATATTTAACTGATAAATGTGTTTCTAAAATAAATGATAATATAATTGGTTTATCTGCATAACGATAATTTTTACTATCGATCTAATCATTTGCAATTTTTTGACAAAGTAATGGAAATGGTTCATATGATTGTAAACGGAATTGTGGAAATGTACTTTTTCGTTCAGATGGTTTGTAACAAATATTTTCATAGAAACATTTTGAAATATCGGCAGCATATTTTTTAACTAATTCAAGAATTGTTTGAATAGTTTTCCAACGTTTTGCATCTCGATCAACTTGTTGTTGACCACCAACAGTATAAATCAATTGATATTTAACATGTAAAATTTCATCTGATTCATCTAATACATCATGAACATATTTCTTTAACAATCGTTGAACTGTTAACATAGAACGACCAATATCAAATTCATTTCTTCGACATTTATCAATAGTGAGTAAATCAAATGAGAGAATATCTTCTAGTGGTGTCAATATAATATCACAATTCAATAATCCTTGTTAGACAAGTTTAAAAATTTGATTTATTTGTACAGTATTGAAATTCATATCACGACGACATACAAATGGAAAAATACGTCGATTAAGTAAATCACCTAATTTACATCGTAAGGATTGATAATTTGTTGGAAATAATGATTTTAGTACTATAATATGAACTAAACTCGAATTAGACGAAGATGAATTAACAGCTAACATTGGTAAAATAACTGACGTTTTTCCTTCGTCCATATTCATTTGCATCATTATATTTCGTACTGTTGAATGTTCGATTTCCATATTTGGTTGTATCATATGTTGTGCTACTTTGATTTGAATTTCTCGAATAGTTATATTCATCTCTAATTCCAAAATAAGCCAAGAAATATGTTCAGATGTTTTTCAATTTGAATGTGGTATATGTGATATTTCTTTTTTAAAGTCTTCCCATTTTTCATGAATTGCAAAATGGAGAATTTTTTCGAGTTG